CTCCTCCTCCTCCACCATCCCCATCCCCATCCACCCAACACCACGATGCCTTCACCACCTCAAACCGTCGTCTTCTCCCCCCTCATCTTCTCTCACCCCCTCAATGCCTCCACACGTGTGTGCGCGAAGTCATGCCAGACAGTAGAATGCATCACCTGAAGTAAACACACTCGACGCTTCACTCTCGACAACCTCTGACCACTTTTTTATTCCCCCTTTTTTGTGCAACATTTGTACAATCGAAGGTGCTAATTCACGCCAACATCGCTGACACGATATCATCAGGCAAAATAAAAATAACGTTTACTGATGAGTTGTAGGAAGTGAACACAGCGGCTTCACGTCAAACGTGTGGTTTTTGCTCTTGACAGAAGGCATTTTGATTTGCCACTCCTTCACAGTCCCGCATGACCTTGGACGCATAGAAGTAGTTCGTTTACTTTTCCCTTACAGAAAATAAGTAGACGAGAAGGTGAAGGACAGGCGTGAATTGGCTCTTAATGTCGTACATTTAGCCTTGCTTGACGTCTTCCCGGTCTGAAGTAAAGTCTCCTAAACCTTTCATATCGTCCGACTAAACGTAATCACCAACGTGACCTTCACCACTGCCAGGGTGTCTGCAGCCCTTCAAAACGTAGCCACGATGAGTCAACAGTCACGGCAATGCTTCAGGGTTAAGGAGACTATTTATGGAATTATAAAACAAACAAACGTTTAAATTGTTTACTATGGAAAACACTAAAGACAGTAAAGTGACAATATTAAATTTAACCATCTCAAAATAGTTCGTCTAGTCGTGCTGTGAGGTTCTGTTCTCTCTCTCGGGGTAGTTACTGTGTGCGAGAGAGAGAGAGAGAGAAGATTGTTGATTGTCGGAATAAACAAGCCATTGACAATGTGGTCGAGAATCCTGACGATAGCGCAACGATGTTTGTTTTTATATATGTATATATGCATTTATTTTGAACTAAAGCTGTGCATTCACCTCGAGGTCGGGCGGATTTTGTCAGTATCCTCCTTCTGACTAAATCTTTGCGTCTTCAGAGCGCCTCGGATGGCCTCTGGTAGCCCCAGTCGCTGCTTTCCTACCTGAGTGCCCAGAAAGGATGCTGAGGCAGAATGGCCATCAAATTAACCCAAGTGAGAGGGTTATCCCTTCCCCGGTCCATAAGACAGACACCGCGGTAGTTTAGAGGTCGTATAAATTGGATGAACTAAAAGACTACCACTTACTTCTAATAAATTTTTTCACGTCTTCGGCATTCCGACTGGTTCTTGACCCTGCAAGGAGTGGCTTCTATTCATTAATCATTGCCTCCAACTCATGGTCCATTGGTTGAAGAAGTCAGTGGAAGGGAATGGATGAGTCACGGCCCAGAAGA